GGGCACCTTGATGGGCTCTAAGAAACAATGGCGTTCTTCCCATGTCACCCACTAGAAAGCTGAGGCTCAGGGGAGTGAAGCGACTGCACCATTCACACACTCGTGCATGGGGCTTCTCTGGGCCAAAGTCTGTCCCCCTACCCCTCCTCCACCCCACGCAGCTTCCTTGCAGTTCTTGTCTGGGTTTAAATCCTTCTCTCATTTACACCCACTTGCTTGTGTTCTGCCATCTGAAGAAATGGAGCCCCTCAGAGGACTCACGTGGCACTGGCCCAGGGACTGCTAACTCCTGGGCAAAATGTAAGTTACAGATAAGTGTTGTTTGACCCACACAGAATTTTTCAAAACATGGGTTTGTTGTTGACATCTGAAGATTTTATATGCAAACCCAGATATCTGGCTTCTCTTGAAAACCCAGATTTTCAGGTGACATCAGGTCCCCATTCTCACATGGCAACAACTGTCTTGAGTTGAGAAGCAGCTGCCCTCTTAGGAGCCTACAAGCTTTCTGGTTCACCAGAGTCCCCATCCCAAACATCTAACAACCAAAATGTGTGACCACCTAGGAAGTCTATTCCTTTAAGACTACTAGTCATTTTTATCTTGGGGACAAAAGGGAGTGCTGGGGACTGGGGCTAACTAGAGAGTACCGCCTTCAACTACAGGAAAGCTCCACCTTCCTAGTCTTTGTAGACATTTGAGTCTCTGACCTCTGACTGTGCACTGTTGATATTTTATTGTTATCGGAAGGTAAAGGAGAAGGGCTCTTTGGGTACTAAAGTTTGGATCTCAGTTTGGGACCATTGAGGAATATTTCCTTCCTCCATGTGGCAACCACCATATCTGTACCCAGCTCCTGAGTTATTCACCCACTGACCCACAGATTCTAAGTTTTCATTCAAAAGATTGTTCAGTGGGACATCCCGGGGAAGTGGGGACAGAGAAGTGTACTTGCCTAGGACCGTTTGGGAATAAATACTGTCCAAGTGAAACAAAGGCTCATGCTGAGGCTGGCTCAGGTCTTCAATAAAATGGGACATTCTTTCAGAGCAGTGTCCTAACAAAGGAGCCAAGGAGAAAAAACACTTCTGATTACAGAGCTTCCTCTCCCTAGCTGAGACTTGGCATAGAACAGAAAAATTAAACACACCTCTGCTCCTCTCTAGAAAATCCCAATATGGGAAACAGGAGCCAAGATGTAACAGGTGAGGGGGTGGGGGAGATCAGTGAGAAGAAGAGGGAGATGCTTGTGGCCTGCTCTGAAGGTACACGGGTAGCTATGATTTCAGGTGTCCCGGGTTCTCACTGTTTAGCAGGACAGGAAATGCCCAGCTCTCCACTCTCTAATGCTCAGCATTCCAGCTCTCTCTCATTTCCATCTCACAGGATTCTCTGAAGTCTGCGGAGGATGTGTCAACAACAGACCAGCTTGTGCCCACGGGAGAAAGAGCCTCGCCTTCCAGCCTTCAGGAGCCACCCACCATGTACATGCTTCCTAAGCTTCGATCTGTAACCAGCAGTTCTCTGTAGAACCTAACCACTGAAGGGTTAAGCATGGGGTACATCGGGGTTCCGTGATGAGCAACCACAGACATGTTCGTGCCCCTCGCAAGGTTTACAGCCAAGTAGGGGAGACAAACAGTAATCAAATAATCACACACATACATGCACACATTATTCAAAACAGAACTGTGTGCTCTGAAGGAAAGAGACAGCCCTGAGCGTGCATGTAACAAGGTTAGCAAGCATAGCCAGGGTGGTCAGGAAAGGAAGGTTTCCCAGGGTAGCAGTTGGCTGATCAAGGGGGTGGGGCAGGAAAAGCATTCTAGCAGAGGGAAGGACAGGTGCCAAGACTCTAAACAAGTAGGGAGCATGACATGTTCCAGGACCTGAGATGCGGCTCGTGCAGCCAAGCACGGCCTGTAAGGGCTGGGTCCTAATCTGAGAAGCACCTCCCCGCCTGCCCTGCTGCTTCCCGGATGTTCTAACCACTGCTAGACTCTGGGTCGGGCGTACTCTTCTGTGGTGACCTCTCCTCAGCTCCCAACACAGTTCTCGGCAAGTAGGAAGCACTCAGTAAGGGCAGGCTGACTAAGTGTACGAGAGGAACAATGAGGAGACAGACCTCCTGGGGAGCAAATAAGTGAGGGAATTAACGCAAGTCTATGAATTAAATGCACGACAACCAGCAAAAAGCTGGAGTTGACTGGTAAAGGTGACTTTAACTTCAGTGCTGCTAAACCTTGCAAACTGGGGTTCTTTCCTCTCTGTCTCTGGTTCTGAAGCTTTGAGCTTGTTGCAGTGTCCTTGTGGCTCTTCTGCACCCAGAGGACATGCTCCCCGGTGACTGGCACCCCTGACAGTGCCTCCAGCTGCGCAGGTCCCATCCAGAACAGGCAGCTTCGTTGTGCCTGCTGCTCTGTTTCCTCTTAAGCTTTGGTTTGGTTCCAGTGAGGTGGACTTGAAGGACCTGCAGCAAAGGTGGGCAGGCTCTAGGAAGGGGCACGGGGAGAGAGCAGGTGGGAGGCAGGGGTCCCACAGCCAGGGGCGGCAGGATTCCCCAGACACGCTAGCCCACAACCAAGTTAGAAGCTGCCTGGGAGGCAATGGGACCGACTGGGTTGTTTCTAGGCTGTGACAACGTCAGCTCCAGTCACTAGAAACCAAAGACAAGATGAGGAAACAAGACATGTCCCCCACCAACCTCTCTGGAAGCCAAGTCTATGCCTCAGAAACTACTCAGGTATAAGGTCAAATACAAAAATAAATCAGAATTTCTAAGTCATCTTTTGCGATACTTCTAAGTTCTCACAAACAGTATCTTGAATCTATAATGTCCCCTTTAATTTGTAGAAGAGATTTCATTCCCACCTGGCAATACCCTCAGAGGTGCTTCAAAGAGCAGCTGGTGATCTCAGTTCACCAGGCCCCCCTCTTATCCACTCTCCAGTGGCTTCCCACTGCAGCTAGAACTAGATGGAAAAGCCACACCGTGCTCTGGCCCCTACCCGCGATTCAACCTCATCTCATACCTCCTGCCCACCATCATTCTACAGCCAAAATGCCCTTCTCTCAGTTCCTTGACCAGGCCAAACGCTTCCCAGCCTCCAGGTCTTTGCACATGACGTTCCCTCTGCCAGAAATGCCATCACGACCACTCCACACTCATGCCCAGTATTTTTGCTGTAAGCATCTTTGCCGTAGACATCTCTGCCACAAACATTTTTGCCCCACAACTAATTGGCCGTAAGGCAATTTTGTTGTAAAAGACAAAATAACTGGAGGACAGTTTGGTTTCAGCTGACTGACAGTTTGGCAATTTTGCTGTAAAAGAAAAACCAACTGGTTGACAGAAAGTTTGATTAAGATAAAATAACTGGTTAACAGTTCAGCTTCAACTGTTGACAATTTGGTTTCCCTTCTCTGTTGATGCAGTACTACCATTTTGATATTACAGAAATCTTAGCTTCACATTTCCCATAGAACTTTGGAACATCTATCAATGAACATGTGACAATAGACCAAGAACAAACAACAGCGTAGAGGGCTTTTCACGACGCAATACAGAGCTCAGTCATATATGCATCCTAGTATTTGGAAACCGATACCTCTCCCAAGGAAGGAAGAAATTTCAGCAAAAAAAGAAAAAGTGCAAGAATGCCAAACAAGGAGAGGAATCATCAAGCAAAAAAAAAAGATCTAATACTATGAACGAAAGACTCTGAAGGAAAGTGCTTAGGTACAACCCACAAAATAAACTCAGTTATCTGCACAGCAGATATCAGGGCACTATTGCCATGCGTCTACACACATTCTAAATATATTCAAATATTTTGTATTTATTTCGCAATAAAGCCTTTTTAATTTTGTTATTCATTTGTCATATTTTATTACGTCCTTTTTAATGTCCCTCCTTTATTTTTATTTTATTTTTAAAGTAAAATTGCCTTCCAGCTGTGGGGACCTGGAATTGGCCACCCCAAGATATGTCTCTTTGGCATCAGGATTATTTGAGGCTGATTGCTTTTGATAAACTGGGACGGGGAAGGAGGCTCTGAGGAATGGAACTTGCCCTTTGTTAGGACACGTTTACATTCGTAAGGTAAATCTCTATCTCTAAAACGTGCCTCCCTCTCTGTACCAGGAAGGAGAAAGGAGATGACCTTCTCTCTAAAAACTCTTAATCAATACCAAAGGCAATGACTTAAAATCTGCATTTTATTGTGCTAGTCTGGTAACCTCCTGTAACTGACTTCCCTCCCCCTCCCAACTTTGGCATTCCTTAAGGATTAAGCATCTTTCCTTAGGCTAGGAACCGATTGCTGCTGCACTCACCTGCGACCGCCCAGCTCCAGACATAGACTTGCCTCCTGCTATGCCCACCGAGATAGCAGACCATTACCTGCTGTGTCCATCAAGCACTGTGCCAACAGGGCAATCTTGTGACTATTGTGGGAGGGACATTTCAATCACATGTGAAACACCCTGTTTGGGGCTATATAACCACTCTGTGCACCCCACTTCTTCGGTGCCCTTTCTTCCTTCGGGAAGAAAGGCCCCGGGCCATGGTTCCTCATAAAGCTTTGTTTAATTTTCTCTTGCTATTCTGTCTCATGTGAATTTAATTCGTTCTCCAGCTAGACGAACCCCCATTTGGGGAGAGGAAATGTCCTCCTCCCCTACACAGCCAATTAGCTAATGTGGCGAAAGTACCTAGAACCCTCTACAGCTGCCTCCTCACTGGCACTTTCTCATCCTGTGGGTCTCAAACGTCACCGCCTCAAAGAGAGGCCTGCCTCAGTCAACTCCGTCAAAAGCAACACTCTTCCCACTCTGTCTGATCTCAGGCCTATTTTATTTACTTTATAGAGCAAATACATGTCCAACCGGAAACTCTCTTTTGTCCCTCACAGCATCTTTCACTTTTCTGTAACTTGCTTATTTATCATCAGGCTCTCCCACTAGACTGTGAGCTCCAGAAGGGAGAAGACCACGCTTGCCTTGACGACGATGTTCTCCTCTCACAGCACAGTGCCCGGCACACAGGAGGTGTTTACTGTGAACTGTTGAACAAATAAGCCGCATAATCTGCAAAATGACTGTCCTGGACTCCTCACAAATGTCAACTCCTGAAAGAAAAGGAAAAAAAAGGCCAGGGAGTCATTTTTGATTAACGGACATCAAAGAGACAGGACAACTAAATGCACAATGTGTCCTAGATTGGACTTGATCATAAGTAAAAACTAATAATAATAAAGGACATGATTGAGACAATGAGGGAAATTTTAATACAGACTGTACATTCGAGACGAGTAGTGTATCAATGTTAAATTTCCTGAGTTTGATAATCCGCCATTGTTAGGGAGGAGAACACGAAGATGCAGGCGGCAATACTTTAGGATGGAAATGTCATGATGTCTGCAACTTACTTTCAAATTGTTCAGCAAAAATAAATACATGTGTGTATGTCTACACACATCCACATATTGCACTGTTCTGTTCTTACAATTTTTCTGTAGGTTTTAGATTTTTCAAAGTAAAAAGTTGAGGGGAAATAAACCTATAGAGGGATAAATGAATAAAAAGTCAGAGTTTTATTTCTCATTCTTGGTTAAAGTGATGTGATTTCTCCAAAATCTTATGGATCCTCTGGTAGAATCAAGATTATGACCGAAATATCCAAACTCCCAGACTTTTTGAATTTCCACTGCATAAAACAACTCAGTTGGACTCGTGACAGTCTCAGACAGGTAACTTTCAGGGCCCTGAACTGAATTCCTGGTTGGATACGCATCAGCTTACAAAAATCAAAACAGTGTTGGATGATTTTAATCTGGGACTCTTGCTTCCAGGCATTTTACGTTATAAGATAAAAGCTTTCTCATTTGCATAAGTTGAGCCCTTCTACCTTTCCCCCATGCTACGTGAATTATACCTCTAATAATAGTGAGCTAGAGAATGGGGGGGGGGGGGCGGTCAGGGAGACGAGCCTAGCATTAAAGTTTTAATTTTCTGTTTCTATTAAAATTCTTAAGCTCAAACTTTCCTTTTTCTTTTCAATCTAGACCTTCAGAGCCTGTGCAACTCCTCGTGGTCAAACTCCTATTCATCCTTCAAGTCCCAGCCTAGACTCCTCTTCCTCCAGGACACCTTCCCTGACTTCTAGGACAATTTAGGAGCCCTTCGTCTGAGCTCCTACAACCTCTCTCCTTTCTCTATAAAAAATTAAATTTTATCACAGTAATTTTTATTGTCTGCTTGCCTGTTGGTGTCCGTCATCGGATCATAGCCTTCACGAGGACAGGAGCTGGGATGTCGGTGCCAAGCCTGTGTCCAGGCCACAGAGGACACACAGTAATCCGCTGAGCTGAACTTCACTGAAACAGCTGGCCCAGCCCCGCTCCCTACCGGATCTGGGATGACTTGCGGAGGGCAGGCAGAGGCCAGCTCTCCCGAAACAGCTCTAGCGAGGCTTTTCTCCCGCCTGTTGTTTCAGGTGTCCTGTATCACACCCCCCTTGGGACAGGAAGTGTCCTGTGTCACTGTTTTCTTCTCTTGTTCTCATATCAAAGGCTGGACCAGGGGGCTTGGGTCCAGTTACCCACCACCTGCTAGAAGAGCGACTTGGCCGAATTGCCAAGTGGGAAACAACACACGCTTTATTAAATAATAACTACATAATACATACTGCTCACTCCATCAGGTCATTTCAGCTCAGGGATCAGCTTTAAAGTCTTACCAGGGTGGGACAAACAGGCTTCACGGGCAGCGGGAGCGACAGGACATTTGCAGGATGCGAGTTTTTCGGATTCTGTGGATTTGATTGTAGAGCAATTTGCATGTTCTACCCCTTCCCAAGAGGACTCCAAACAGAAACTGAACCCTACTCGTATCCATGACAGTAACTGCCGCTTCACGTGGTGGAAAACACACGGGTTTAACAGTCAGACTACGTGGGTTAGATTCCCAGCTCCTCATCTCCACTAGTCTGTGAGCTGGGGGGTTATCTAACCTCTTGGAGCCACTGTCCCATTCTCTATGAATGGTGGTCGACACCTTCCTCACAGGACTGTGAGTAGAACTAAAAATGATACTCTAGATAGCCATGCACGTTGCAAACGACATATTACACATCGCACAAAGTACTATAAAGTATTATAGGATTTGGGACAGCCGCTCCCTTGAACAGATCATCAGCAGGAACTGGGCAAGTGCAATAGAGCAAGCTTGTCAGGGGGTTCCAGCACACAACACCCGCCAGGAGTTCATAATGTACTCAGTCAAGGACATCAAATCTGTTGGGGGCCAAGTGGAAGAGGGGCAGAGGCTGCATGTCTCTATCTCCCCCTCACTCCAGGGCCCCAGGTTTCCTAAAGGCGAGCAGTTGACACGGTGATACTCTTCCTTGAAGGGTCCCACCAGAGTTGAGAAGACTGAATTTTTATACATCACTGTCTATATATATTTTGCATACATCAGCAACCCAGAAGAATTTAGCCCAAAATTCCATGTGTTTCTGTGTAAGGAAATCTTTACCAACAAGATCTCCTGGTCCTTGAACCAAACTCAACACTTAGGACACATTATCATCTGGGGGGTGGGAAGCAGAGTCAGTGCCCAGGTCCCTGAGCAATCCCTTTGTCACTGGTGTCCCAACATCCCTGAAAGCCCCTCTCCCACAGGATCATCTTCTACTGAGCCTTTCTCCACCAAGGCCTGCCCACGTCACTTTCTAATTTTTCTCTAATCCATCCCCTCCTCTCCACACCAACTACTATAGCCCTGCTTTTGCCCTCATTATCTCTCACCTGGACTAGAGCCACAGGCTCCCAACAGTCTGCTGTGGCAGGCTACCGCCCCACCCATCCCCATATCTATCCTCCACTCTGCCATCAGAAAGGTCCTTCTCAAATGCTCATCAGACAACAGAACTCCCTTCCTAGGATGGTTCAGTGGCCCCATGGCCTATAGGCTCCATCCCACACTCCCCAGGAAGGGACACAAGCCCTGTCTCATTCTGTAGCTTCAGCCCCCACACTATACTTTCCTTTCTTGTCTTATCAAACTGCTTGCAGTTCCCTGTCACTCTCCACACTGTTCCCCCCACCCCTCCCCACATAGGCCTTTGCTAACTCTTCCTACCTCCTGGAAAGCTCTTCCCATCTTTGGCTAACTCTTATTCTTCATGTCTCAATCAGAGATGTTCTCTCTGAAGCTCCAGTTTGGGCCAGTTTCCTCTACTCCCACGGTCTCCAGTTTAACTAGTTTAAACTGGAATTCTGTGTACATGAGCTTGGCTCCCCAAATAGATAGCACCTTCCTCCTTGATCCTGTACCATCCCCCAGCACCTAGCACCACGCCGGAACACTGTAGATGACCAGTAAGTGTTTGCTGAGTTGAAATGAACACAAATCCCCACACAGATTCACAATGGGCAGTTCAACCGAGAGCTCCTTACATCTGAGGAAGGGAAGAAACAGGAGGCTTCCAGGTTGATGGAGCCCACAACTTGGTTCTAGAGGACCCTGGATCTAGATGATCAGAGCAACAGGAGGACAGCCAAGCATCGCCTAAGAAGAGAACCAGTGTTACTCCCGAGGCTGCCTCAGGCCTGGTCAGCTGTCCCAGCCAAGCCATTCTCAGGACTGTCCATCTCAAAATGGGATTTGCACATCTCTGAGGGTACAGGCATATGCTAAGGGATGCACAAACCATAGGATAAAAAAGGACACTCTCCTGGAGAATCAATACTTTAAAATTTCTTTTAAGTAGCTAACGTTTACTGAGCACTTACCATCCCCAGGCACAGTGTCAGCTCATTTAATCTTCAAAATGGCTCCATGAAGTAGGTACTATTAGTTCCCCCACTTTCAGATGTAGAAACTAAGGCCGAGGAAGGTTAAACAAGTTGCCTAAGGTTATGCAAACAGTGAGTAGTAGCAGCAGAATTCAGACTCAGGAGGCTAGCTCCCGAGTCTGCTGTCAATCATGACACTACAGTGTCTTTCTTAAAACTACTTTATGGAAAAAGAAAGAGCTATGATATGGAGTTACTTGCACATTTCATATGCTTTTTTGAAAATAAAATACAAAACTTCACTACTCGGACCTTGCTTACCCCTCTGAGCTCATTTCTCCACCTCCCTCTCTCCACTCCAGCCACTGTGGCCTCTTCTGTTTCTGAAAAGTGCCAAGTTCATTTCTGCCGAGGAATCTCCACACACACTAACCCTCTGCTGGGGATGCTCCACAGACCCTGCCAGCTCTCCGCCAGCCAGCTCCTTATCCTTCATGTCTGGGCTCACACTTCACCGTCTCAGGTGGGTCTTGCCTGACAAGCCTCTCCAAGTCTCTCTTTGCTTCTCCATCACAGCACCCTGGCCATTCCCTCCAAGGCAGGGTTCTCAGTGGGTGGGCACCTGGTCGCTTTCTACATCTTGACCGTCTGTCTCCCCGACTGCACCGTAAACATCATGAGGGCAGGGACCTTTCTCTTTTGTTTACCTGGCACCTGGCAATGAAGTGCTCCACAAATGCTTACTAAATGAACAAGCAAATGGAGAAATTAATGAACAAACCAATTAACCAAAGAAAGGGCTGAAGGAAGGGAGGAATTGCTACTTTAGGGTTTTGAACTCTGAGAGATAACACATTCACTAAAAGTAGTGGTATTTTGGTGGAAAAACTTGAGACTAAACTTCAGGATTACAAATCCATGTCTCTGGAGAAAGTGACACACAGAGCACTCTAACCAATTCATCTGTTCTGGTGGTTTGTGTGAACGTGAACTTTGCCTTCTAAAGAGGCGGTCCTTGGAGAGGACCAGGGAACTGCCCACAGTGCCCAAGATGACCCTGTGTGGCCTCAGGCAAGGCTGGACAGGCAAGCACCCCCATCGCTGCTGGAAACCTTTACCCCAACTCCACAGGCCTGGAAGAACCTAGAATCCCTAACACAACTGCCGTGGGAACGAGCTCACAGAATTACTACGACCCCCAAACGCAACAGCCAAACCTCTGAGTCTGTACTCAAGGCTGCAGTTCACTGTGCAAAAGGGAGGTCGTGGTGCAGAGATCCGGATGCTGCGGCCCCTGGGAGAGGGCGGAAATCAGGCCTGAAACGCAGCTA